ATCACATCTTGTTACTGCTTGTTTGAGTGTTAAAAGTCCAGTGGCTTGTAAGAATGGAGGTAAATGTGAATTTAAACAACGTTGAGGGAAAACAGGAAGGAGAAATTGTGCATTATGACAGCAGACCAAACATGACAAAATCTCTCATAATATTTTATTGAAACATCTGATTAAAGCTGATATTCCCCTCAGCTCCTCCTCTCCCCTTCGTCTCTGCTCCAGAAAGCCCCGCCCACAAACAGACGCTCCTGCTCGCTCGTATCGTTTTAATTAAATTCAGATATAATGCAGATAAATACTTTAGATAATTACAAATGGGGCTCAGTCAACATGAAAGTAAAGAGCATTGGTGCTACTGTAGATGCCAACAGACTACCAGCAAACACAATGTTTGCCGGACTTTTAAAACTAGGATAAAGCAACATAGTCCAGGACCCGAGATAAACAGTTTAGCGGCGCTACAACACGCAGCAGGTCCCGTTTGACAAGAAACACTTCTGCTACAGACACTTGGCTTACTTTGTTAAAGCGGTTTACCTGTCCAGCAGAAAGGTTACAGGGTCTGTAAGATCCCGAAGCGTCCCCCATCGTTTATGCTTCATTGATGTTGACCCGGCTTTTTAGTTCTTGTCCTCCTTTTTAAGCGCCCGTTATTCCGCCAGAGTCTCCGGTATTTACCTCGTTTTCTTGCTTGTGTCGGCAGTCGTGGCTAGAGGAGGATTGAGACAATTTTCTGTACTTTCTGGTTGGTTTCTACCGTCCGATATTGTAGCACGCTAACTTTGTTTGGGCTCGTGAACGACACGGGGAGCAGTGTCTGCCTCACAACCAATCAGGTTGGAGGAGGTGGAGAATGGCTTTGTTTACAGTCAGGAAGAGCGGGCCACTCAAAAAGTTTAAAATGTTGACTACACAGACACAACAAAACACAGTGATATCGTTATATTACCAAATGTCATCAATGACTAATAGCTATTGACTGATATTAAAAGCTCTTTTGTATGTACACCTTAACAAAGGATGCTTCTTTAACAGATTCCTGCCTACACCACCTTTAAGAGTTTGACCATCTGAAGAATGCAGCGATGATATATTTGGAAGGACTGATTGTTTGACTGGCAATGGCAACACCTGCATGTCCTACCTGGGAAGGCTGTAGCTGTGCAGGTCAGAGGACTGAGTGGCCTACACTGGGCTGGGTTTGACTTTGTTGCCTGCCTAAATAACACCATTCTCCTCTTCTTTCTCCCCATTTTCTCCCCACATTTCTTTCACAGCCTGTTTTACCCAGCATAAACGTTACCTGAGAGTTCCCTGTATGACACATTCAAATGTAGGTGAACTCACATTAGGTTAATATGATTTGATTTGGTCCATCTGAACACGTTTGAAAACTACAGCCAGAGGATAATTTATGAGCAGGGAGGATGTGGTAATGGCAGATAGATTCACAGACATGACAGGGATGATGGAGCAATAGAGGTTTCACTGTTTGAATAAATTGAAACTGACAAGCGTAATTTATTTTTTTATACTTGCATTTATCAAGCTATTTTAGAGGCAATTTAGATCCCTATGAAGTCCGGACGCATACAAACACACACAGGCAGAGGAGTGTATTGGTAACATACATCTTCATTAGCGTCCAGTCATATCTCTCCTCTTCCCACACTTTGTTTCTGTGTTTCTCCCTCATGAATGTTTAAATCTCAGAGTATTAACCTCGTCACATTCAGGCATAAAGACCGGGAGACGCTCAGAGGGCCGTTTCATCATATTTCCAGTTAATCAGGAATACGTCTGCTTAACTTCAGACAAGAAACGTTCTCTGTTGAGGAGCTGCAGAGACGGAAACAGGCACATGTGACAAAAAAAGACTCAATTTCCATTTTTGTGATATGAGGGAAATTTACAGTTTTTCCTGACGGATACTGAGTTTGGAGGCAGATATCAAGCAAACAAGAAGAGAAGATTATCTCCTTAAATATGATGTTTCATTTGATGTGTAGAGATGATCAAGAGTAATCTAACCTGAAGGGAGAGTTTTTATAGTGTTTATACAAAGATATCACAGCCCACTGTCACTTTGAGATTAAGACCCAGATGTGCAAAGTAAATGGTAAAGTAAATATTTCTAACCATATTCTCTCTCCATGAGGAAAGTACATCAAAAGTAACATGAAATAATTAAACTGAGCAGTTAAAGTGGATTTACCGGTATTCAAACCCTAAGTAGGTAAGCTACTGGACGTCCAAGCCTTGAAAACAGACAGGTAATAGCATATCCTTAGCACCATTAATCTTTCATTTTATTACATACAGTACATAATGTACTGCTATAAATACATTCCATAACTCCACAACTATGGATCGCTGCACACCACAATGAAGCCGGTAAATTTTAGTCAACTATTTTTAACCCTTCGTGTGATGGTTTTACAATCAAACTAATTATTAATTTCTCCTCATGTTATGGTTGTGTCTTTTATTACACAGTACAGTTTAGTGATGTATGGAATCATAATGTATAATTCCATATCATACTTTAAAGTAGTATACGGTAGGTTCTCATCGTATCAAACTGTACTGTATGATTTTGTGTCATTCAGTTAATTATAATAACATATTGTCATATCTCATTGTATCTGGATGTTTTGAATTCATAGGCAGAAGTAAATGATGTATTAAAAAGTAGAAAATCCTTTCATAAGTCGTTAATAAATAACTGTACTGGCCTTCTTCTGTAAATTTTGATTTCTTTGTTGTTGCTTCAGGGGTGTGAAAACTTTTTCTCCCTCTTGAGTTCTCAGCTCAGGCCGGCGTTAAATTGTTCTGACATCTCATTCAGTTGTTTTTCCTTCCAGATGAATTATTCAGCCCATGATTTGAAAACCATCTGAGTGACCCCTGTAAATAGGTTCAAGTAGCTTAATGAAATCTGTTTGATTACATTCATTTTCATCCACCGCCTCTTTGTTTATTTATTACAAACGGCTCCGCAGATACTGTGTAATCAGAAGTGTCTGTATTTAGCAGCCTTTCATCAAAATAATGCTCTCTCCTACCGTTCACTTTGCTATTATTACAGCAAAATGTTGTAAACTTGGCTCAGATTTCTCTTGGATGAGATCTTTACTCAGAGAAACAAAAGGCTAACAAGCTAATTAGATCTTGGGCTACCTGCTGAGTTTGCCCCTGAGGAAAGCAGTCGTTTGATACAAGGAAGCAAGAGCAGACATTTAGGCCAGGGATACGTGTTTGCTCTGTTTCCAGGAGAACATAAATGTCTCTGAGGCATCCAAATATCAATCCATTTCAGCACATGTGCGAGTATATTTTACTTTCTGCTGATGATTTTTCTTGAGATCTCTTGTAAATAATAAATTTGGCTGGGCTTCTTTTGAAACTCAAAGGTTTGAAACTATTTTTTTTATGTTGATGTTAAAAATAGTGTTTAGATTGTCTATTTGGTTAGATCTCGCTAGTTACATTTATAATATTAGACATAATAGTGGATAATAAAACATAAATCTACTTCAAGCTTAGACTGAAATTTATATTGATGCCTTTTATGATGTACAAACGCAAACAGGACAATCAGGGACAAGATTAACAATTTTTGTATTGCAATTTTTAATGCCATAAACTAGTACGGGGGGGAGGTGTTGGTTGAGCAGCTAAAGAAACAGCTCTGTTTTTAAAATTTCACACAAATCATTAACAACATGTTGTGCATTTGAGTGTCAAAAGTAAAATAGATGAGCTCTAGTTAAGCATAAGGAGGAGAAGATAAACAAAGACTGCTTTGTCCGCAGGGGACGCCAAAACTGACATCTTTCAGAGGGGCTTCGCCAGTTTTAGAGTCACCAAAATAGTGGTGCTTTATTTGTAATGGTGGTTACATGTACCCTAAAAAATGTCCATCCGACAAAATAGCATAGGGTTTAAATTAATGTTTTCTTTTTCTAACTATCAAAAAGCAGGGTCTTCTTTCATAATATCAAATTTCCCCCTATCCTGACTTATCTTATAACCCAGCAACTAGTAGGGGAGAGTGGGGTAAGATGAGCCATTTTTCATAGTTCGGATCACTACATCCAGGCAATCATAGTTTTGTCTCTAACTAGTTTATCTGCATATATTTCAAGATGTTGGTCATCCCTGCAAACCAACTATGGTCAACTTAGGTCAACTGATTAGTCCTCTGAGCTAAAATGGTGGACTTTTATGCAATGTTTTTGACCTGATGTTGTAGCTCATAGATAACACAATTGATGAATAAAACAAATTTAAAATGATCTTTTTTGGTCTGAACACAATTCTTATAAAACTTATGACAGACTACATTCACGTTCAAGAGTAAAAAAATGTTTTTTTTGGTAATAAATGTCTAACCCCTTCACCCATGTGCTTCTAACCTTCAATGACTCCATGAATTGATGTCCATCTCGTAAATATTTAGTCACATGATCAATTTCTTTCACCATTTCCAAGCAACAGGGGGTGGCTCAACTTACCCCACTCTCCCTTAAGAACTGAGGGGCCCTGAAACTAACTTTGTGGGTCCTGCCAGCAACAATTTATTCACGCACACAGGTGTGATACAATGTTGTTCTCAACTTCCTCAGTCAGCTAAAGGGTCCAAATAAATTTCTACCTGCATTAAGTTAGCGTTATGTTACAGTTTCCTGAAAATGAGTCATTTACGGTTTCACTGGGGCTGTGTTTGGGGTTCTAGTTCAGCCTCATAAACAGAGGCTGTAGCCCTCACCGTGGCAACAACAGGTGTTATGACGACCTGCCATCCCCAACCCTCTTCTGTCTCTTTTTAAAACAAAACACAGAAAAACGGAACTCTGACATCCTCAAAGAGAATTGTCACTGTTTGAATTCCTAGCATCATTCCTATAAATTCAAAGCATCATCTCAAACAATCAGTCTCATTTAAGACCTACCAACAGTCAACATCTGAGAATAGAGGCTTAGACAAAACCATCAAAATGAGCGACAGAGGCATGCTGCCCTGCTCCCTTTTTAACGAAATTCGTCTGGATGGGGCCCTTTGTGACGCAGTCGTCAGAGTTCAGCATGTGGAGTTTAATATCCACAAAATTCTTCTCTGTGGTTGTAGTAACTACTTTCGGTAAGTTCACTCTCTGATTTCAAATGTCACCTGGAAAAAGGAATATTTAAAACTATACAAAATTAACTTAAAAAGAGAACCAATGATGCACGTTTCCTGTCTGTCTGAGTACAGTCACATGTCTGCTTTGGTAAAAGTTTTTGTGTAGAAATAAAAAAGTTAACTTTTATGATGTTGACACAAAATAAAATTTTGGGGTGTGTTGATTGGTTTGAAAATAGTAATTTCAATGATATTACTCATAAAGCTGAATTTGACTCCATGCTGGTGACCTAATTCAAAAGCACAGCACTTTTAATTATTTAACACACAAAAGACCATGCCTGAAATTAATTGTGGCAGCTGATGAACTGTTTAGAAAAGACTTTGGGAAGCAAAACTAGAACTGCATATATTTTTAGTCAAAATTGTGGTTTTTTTTCATTTATATTGTAAGTCAGGGTGTACAAAGAGCAATGCGTAAAATGAGCATTTAATTCATTGTTTCTTTTTCATAAGTTATAGTTAAGTAAGTTGATTTCTTACATGCATACTGCAAAATAAAGTGAACTATAAAGGGTAGTATAGAGGTTGTACATAAAAACACAGGGTTGCATTGTATCCTGATACTCAGTGTGGGCTTCAGAGTACTTATGTACTTTAGATTGATATTTGCCCTGCAGTGTCATGCATTTGAAAACCCTCCATGTTATTTGGTCGGTTGTGTTTTTCATCTGTTTTAAAATGTCCCACAGAGCCCTCTTCACAAACTGGTCTGCCTCTGACCAAAGAGTGTTCGACATACCTGGCCTTTCTCCTGATATGATGCAGCTCATTATTGAGTTTGCCTACACTGGCTCAGTGTGTGTGACCAGTGACAATGTCCAGGAGCTTTTGGTCGCTGCCGATCAGTTCAACATCATGGATATTGTGAAGGCCTGCTGTGGCTTCCTGGAAAAAGAGCTTTCTCCAGAGAACTGCATCGGCATCTGGCAGCTCACCAAAATCATCCTCTGCTATGGACTGCAGGAGAAGGCTTATTGCTACATCACTGATCACTTTGAGGAGGTAGCTTCCCACGAGGAGTTCCTGGAGCTGTCTCTGCAGGAGCTTGCAGACTTCCTGGAGAAAGACGAACTCAATGTAAAAAATGAGAAGACCACGTTTGAGTTTGTTGTTCACTGGATCAACCACAGACGGGGAGAACGGGAAGAGCACATCAGTGTACTTTTGTCAAAGGTAAGTAGGCCTTGGGGGTTCCCATAACCACACGGAATGAAAAAACTACTACCATTGCATTTTGGTGGTTGTAATTATGAGCAAAAGAATTTGTTTTTGAGGGAAAAACTGAACAAATGATGGATCATAATTATGCATCACAAGGGCTTCTTGTCCTTGAAAGCCACCATCACTTCACCAATGGACGGGGTGAGCAAGGGAGCATTTAAATCCAGAATCTGATGGCTAGGTACCATTAAAGACTAAACACTGTACCCAGGCCCGGATTAAACCTTCTATATAGCAAGCATTATAAATAAAAGTGCAAGGCATGATATGAAGGCCTGTTATGGTTATACAATTTGTTTTGTTTAAAGGATTGCTACACTGAGATTTGAGAATTTTATTATTTTATATTTGTTCTACATTTGTCTGCATTTGTGTTTTGATCTTTCTTTTCATATTCTGTAGGGACTGATAAATGTCAGAGGTTTTGACACTGTGATACTTGAATAAATGTTTTATACCATATTTTGAATTAATTCAGACCTTTTGTGCATTTATTTTTGTCTTGTTACATTTTTCCATTATTCCAATTTTGGGAATTTGACTGACTTTCAGCCATTTATGGCCATGATGTGCTGTTTATATTTCATTGCTTTTATTACACAGTAGGTTGTGTCATTTTTATGTATGAAACATAAGCTTTTAGCTAAATTTACTGTATATATTTCATTGTGCTGGGTGCAAATCACTTGAGTTGAGACGTTTTCTTCAAGAAATTTGCTACATTTCATAATCTGAATTCACTTATGCATATACTAAGGCACCAATAACTGTTTCAGATGTTAGGTAGATGTATTTATGACATCTGAGAAAGATTTTGTCTTGTCAGAATCAACATAGCAGTTTCTACAAGCAAAAACAGCAGCACCATATAATCGTTTTTTGTGTTACTCACATATATGTACATTTCTGGCTGGTCTTTTGTCTCACCCTGTAGAGAAAGCCACTTTCTAATACTAGTTCTGTAAGTTTCCCAACGTGGCCTTGTAAAGTGGAGAACGTCTTCACTCTGGACAGATGATAGATGCATATAGCATCGTTTTCGTTCCTTTTTGATGCACTTTTGAAGGCTGTTTTCTTTTTTTCCTTTTAATTTCTTCCTCTTCGTTTGTCTCGCTGCTAGATGCGCTCGTCGCCATGTTTGTGTATTTCTGATACTATGGCAACGAGACTCGGCTCCTATTGGTCCACGTGACAAAAATCGCTTCACCCCTCTGCATATTCGATTGCGCGTGTGCAAGTATCACTGCGCCGCAGAAAGGAAATAGTTCGACACCGAAACACTGATTACTAAAAATCGACGGGATGGCATGAGTAGAAATTTTTTTTAGTACTCACTATCAATATAGCTGTTTTATGAATCATAGTTTATGTTGCCCCACTGAAGTGAAACGAGATTCACTTTCTAGGCACTTTTTCCTCTGTCCCAATACAGCCTAATCCTTTTTTTTTTTTTTTATTATTGAACAAGACAGACAGTACAACCAACGAGAGACACATCACAACAATAACGACAAAAACAGAAAACAAAACACAACCATACAACAGCCAGAGGACTTACAGTTCAATGGTACAGAATTTCTTCATTACGGAGTAAGTTTTGGTAGCTTTCTTGTTCGTAATGTCCTTGATCGTGGCAGCATAACGGAGCAGTTCATTTTTGAAGGGTGCAATGTTTGGCTTGGATTTGGCCCATTTGTTTTTGTGAATATGGAATTTCCCCAAGCTCAGCCTAATCCTCCTCACACCGGGCGCAGCTCACCAGCGTCATAGCGGCCTCTGCTCGGGCTGAGTGGCCCCCCATAGCCAAACGCCCTGAGGCTTCAGCCTCACTATGCCTCATGGTTAATCCGGCTCTGACTGTACCCTAAAAGTCCAGCAGGTATTGTGGCATTTTTACAGCAGTTAAATTAGCCCAGAAACAAATCTGCAGGTTTGTGGCAGCTCTACCCGGCCTCTATCATTCCCTGGCCTCGGATTTCCTGAATCAAGTCAGGACAGCCACAACCTTATCTAACATGGAGAAGGTGTTAGCACCTTTGAGACTCTGGGTACATCTCAAGTTTCTTCTTTGAAGTTTTAGAGGCTGTCCCAGACCTGCCAATTCGCAGACTATCCCACAGCTCTTTTTTTTTTTAAAGAAATCTCTTCCTGGTTTCTCTCCAGGCATCCTTTATGAAGATATACTTGCTTTTTTTACCTTTGCATACACAACTGACTGCATTATGAACTTAACTGTGCACTAATTGACACTTAGCATTGCACTCAGCATGTTAAAGCAGGATATGTTAGAGGGCACAGCAGAGCTCAGGTTGTATGCAACTATCAGATTCAGGGATGTAAGAATGACATAGCAGAAGTCACAGAGGAAGTCACTGTTAATATATTTTTAAACATAAATTGAACCGATCTCTTATCCAGCTGTTTTGACTGGGATGTTAGCGACACATTGCGCAGATTTGGAGACTTGATATTCAAGTCGCTCTGAAACATGTCCTGTCACTGTTGTTCCTCCTGCTGTGTTGACTGTCACATCTCTATATCTACACTGCTCCTCCTCATTTATGTGCATACTTCCTCTCCAGCCTGAGTCCTGTAATTTTTTTTAAGAATGTGCAAAGTCGACATGGTGATCAGACACAGAAATAATGTCAGATATCGTAAACCAACTATCAAACACAGCCACTGTGGCAGCCATGGATGTGGAACAAATGAAATCTGCTCCTGCATCTGTATTAGAAAGTGTTTCATGCTGCATATAAAATGGAAAACATATAGGTTCCTAAGTCATGTGCACTCAAACATCCAAATCCAAGGTAATGTGAGATCAATCCCTCATCTTTTAGAAATCACATTTCAGTTGACAATTTCTCATTTTGTCTGTGTAGGTCCGTCTGTCTTTGACGAGTGAGGAGTACATCATCAGCTGTGTCATGTCCAATGAGCTAGTGAGAAACAACGCTCACTGCATGCAGGAGCTTCGTGGCTTGGCACAAATCACTGAGAGTGGACCCCCTGATGTCTTTAACCCCTATTCCTGCCCTCGCCTGCCTCCCGCCATCCTGTTGGCTATAGGGGGCTGGAGCGGTGGTGATCCGACCAATGGAATCGAGGCGTACGATGTCCGAGCCAACCACTGGCACAATTTTACAGACAATTCAGAGCATCCTCGAGCCTATCATGGCATAGCCTACCTCAATGGAAGTGTCTACTGTGTCGGTGGATTTGACCGGTTGGAGCATTTCAACAGCGTTCGCCGGTTGGACTTGAGCACATATACCTGGCATGAAGTAGCGCCGATGTACTGCCGAAGGTGCTATGTTACTGTTACTGTGCTGGACGGGTGGATCTATGCCTTAGGAGGGTTTGATGGTCATACACGACTCAATACTGCTGAGCGTTACAGGCCAGAGACCAACCAGTGGAGTATGATTCCACCCATGAATGAGCGGAGGAGCGATGCTGATTGCACGACACTGAATAACAAGGTGGGTGAGACAGAAGAGCACTGATGATTTGATTTGCTGTATCTACTTAAAAAAAGATTTGATTCAGTCAAACTTGCAGCACTTTAAGAAGGACAGGTGTAAGGAAACTGAATGAGGTCAAAATCCCTGATTAGTTTTTTGACCTTTCAAATGTGTGTTTAAAGCCCCCTGTGAGGATTTTTCAGCTGGTGATAAAAACAGACTGAAATTTTGGTGTCTCTCTATAACCTACAAATGCAAACTAAACCATCAGGGGAAAAAGCTGATGATTTATTTGTTCTCATAATTAATGCCTGATACCAGTGATGCAGGTTAGGACAAGACAAGGTCTCATCTGTGTTGTGCTCATTAAGTTTGGTTTGTGTGTGTCTTGATAGTGGGAACAAAGTTATCTAAAAAAGGAAAAACTATCCTGTTCTTCCCAGGTTTACATATGTGGAGGCTTCAATGGGCTGGACTGCCTGCAAACATGTGAAAACTACTGCCCAGAAACTAACCAGTGGACGGTGATCAGCCCCATGAACAACCCGCGCAGTGGGATTGGCGTCGCGGCATACTCAGGCTACATTTATGCTGTAAGTCCATTCAGTCACTGATAGTTTGTTCAAAAGCAATAAAACAAACTAGATGTTAAAATCAACAAACTGACATAGGTTTTCCCAGCTGCTTTGTCATTTATAAGTACTAAATAGTTATTTTGGTAACACTTTACAATAACCATAATTTATAAATGGTAAATAGATAGTCTATTAATGTTTTATCATCATTTAGAAACAGCATATAGACCAATTATAAATGGCAAATAGATAGTTTATTAATATAAGTTATATAGTTACTTTATCATTGACAAACGGTGAAATTATGATTAAGAATTTTCATTACTTATTGATAGACTATTTATTACAGGTTTATATAGGGTTTAAATATTGGTTGTAAAACATCTAGATTAAAATGTGTGTCAGTAGCACTTTGTAAATGGTTAATATTTGGTTTAAAACCAAATATAAACATTACTTAGACGGTTATTATAGAGGTGGAACTGATGTTTGTAATACTTTGTAAATGATGAATAAGTGGTTTTTAAACCACCTATAAACATGACTTAGATGGTTATTGTAAAGTCAGGGTTAGGGTTAGGGTTAGGATTTTAAAAATGTAAAATTTACAATTTATTAATGGTCTATATGCTATTTATAAATGATGATAAAACATTAATAAACTATCTGCTCACTATATAAATGGTCTATTTACCATTTATACGTTATGGTTATTGTTAAGTGTTACCGTTGTATTTCTTCAGATTTAGAAACTATAATTGTGAAATGTGGGGAAATCGGGTTCAGTCCAGTTTCACTGATTCTCCAACTTTACCGCTTTAGGTTGGTGGCTTTGATGGCAATGCCCGTCTGCGCAGTGCAGAGGCTTACAACCCCCAGACCAACGCCTGGAACGAAATACCCTCCATGCAAAACCCTCGCAGCAACTTTGGAATTGAAGTGCTCGATGATTGCCTCTTTGTTGTTGGGGGCTTCAACGGTTTCACCACCACATTTAACGTCGAATACTACGACGCCATAAACAGTACTTGGACTGAGGCTGCCGACATGGAGATTTTCCGCAGTGCTGTCAGCTGCTGCGTGGTGTCCGGGGTCAACAGGGACAGATTCATTATCCCTCGAGACAACCTGCTACATGCCGTGGAGACTGAGTTTGCCGACTCAGGAGAGTCCTCCTAACACCAGGCTGTAGTGCAGGCCTGCCCTGTACCACCACCAAGGGCTTGGACCTCTAACCCCAAAATTTTAAATAAACTTCTTTGAGCATTACACCATGGTTGCTTTGATCATTTTCAAACATTTTAGCATGTTTAAGGAATATGTTTCCTTTTAAAAGGTCAATGTGTCCAAAATGCAAACACAAGATTCAATCCAAATTGCACGATTGCATTAATATCTTCTCTGAACAGCCCTGTAAATAGGTTCAAGTAGCTTAATGAAATCTGTTTGATTACATTCATTTTCATCCACCGCCTCTTTGTTTAGTTATTACAAACGGCTCCGCAGATACTGTGTAATCAGAAGTGTCTGTATTTAGCAGCCTTTCATCAAAATAATGCTCTCTCCTACCGTTCGCTTTGCTATTATTACAGCAAAATGTTGTAAACTTGGCTCAGATTTCTCTTGGATGAGATCTTTACTCAGAGAAACAAAAGGCTAACAAGCTAATTAGATCTTGGGCTACCTGCTGAGTTTGCCCCTGAGGAAAGCAGTCGTTTGATACAAGGAAGCAAGAGCAGACATTTAGGCCAGGGATACGTGTTTGCTCTGTTTCCAGGAGAACATAAATGTCTCTGAGGCATCCAAATATCAATCCATTTCAGCACATGTGCGAGTATATTTTACTTTCTGCTGATGATTTTTCTTGAGATCTCTTGTAAATAATAAATTTGGCTGGGCTTCTTTTGAAACTCAAAGGTTTGAAACTATTTTTCTTATGTTGATGTTAAAAATAGTGTTTAAATTATCTATTTGGTTAGATCTCGCTAGTTACATTTATAATATTAGACATAATAGTGGATAATAAAACATAAATCTACTTAAAGCTTAGGCTGAAATTTATATTGATGCCTTGTATGATGTACAAACGCAAACAGGACAATCAGGGACAAGATTAACAATTTTTGTATTGCAATTTTTAATGCCATAAACTAGTACGGGGGGAGGTGTTGGTTGAGCAGCTAAAGAAACAGCTCTGTTTTTAAAATTTCACACAAATCAATAACAACATGTTGTGCATTTGAGTGTCAAAAGTAAAATAGATGAGCTCTAGTTAAGCATAAGGAGGAGAAGATAAACAAAGACTGCTTTGTCCGCAGGGGACGCCAAAACTGACATCTTTCAGAGGGGCTTCGCCAGTTTTAGAGTCACCAAAATAGTGGTGCTTTATTTGTAATGGTGGTTACATGTACCCTAAAAAATGTCCATCCGACAAAATAGCATAGGGTTTAAATTAATGTTTTCTTTTTCTAACTATCAAAAAGCAGGGTCTTCTTTCATAATATCAAATTTCCCCCTATCCTGACTTATCTTATAACCCAGCAACTAGTAGGGGAGAGTGGGGTAAGATGAGCCATTTTTCATAGTTCGGATCACTACATCCAGGCAATCATAGTTTTGTCTCTAACTAGTTTATCTGCATATATTTCAAGATGTTGGTCATCCCTGCAAACCAACTATGGTCAACTTAGGTCAACTGATTAGTCCTCTGAGCTAAAATGGTGGACTTTTATGCAATGTTTTTGACCTGATGTTGTAGCTCATAGATAACACAATTGATGAATAAAACAAATTTAAAATGATCTTTTTTGGTCTGAACACAATTCTTATAAAACTTATGACAGACTACATTCACGTTCAAGAGTAAAAAAATGTTTTTTTTGGTAATAAATGTCTAACCCCTTCACCCATGTGCTTCTAACCTTCAATGACTCCATGAATTGATGTCCATCTCGTAAATATTTAGTCACATGATCAATTTCTTTCACCATTTCCAAGCAACAGGGGGTGGCTCAACTTACCCCACTCTCCCTTAAGAACTGAGGGGCCCTGAAACTAACTTTGTGGGTCCTGCCAGCAACAATTTATTCACGCACACAGGTGTGATACAATGTTGTTCTCAACTTCCTCAGTCAGCTAAAGGGTCCAAATAAATTTCTACCTGCATTAAGTTAGCGTTATGTTACAGTTTCCTGAAAATGAGTCATTTACGGTTTCACTGGGGCTGTGTTTGGGGTTCTAGTTCAGCCTCATAAACAGAGGCTGTAGCCCTCACCGTGGCAACAACAGGTGTTATGACGACCTGCCATCCCCAACCCTCTTCTGTCTCTTTTTAAAACAAAACACAGAAAAACGGAACTCTGACATCCTCAAAGAGAATTGTCACTGTTTGAATTCCTAGCATCATTCCTATAAATTCAAAGCATCATCTCAAACAATCAGTCTCATTTAAGACCTACCAACAGTCAACATCTGAGAATAGAGGCTTAGACAAAACCATCAAAATGAGCGACAGAGGCATGCTGCCCTGCTCCCTTTTTAACGAAATTCGTCTGGATGGGGCCCTTTGTGACGCAGTCGTCAGAGTTCAGCATGTGGAGTTTAATATCCACAAAATTCTTCTCTGTGGTTGTAGTAACTACTTTCGGTAAGTTCACTCTCTGATTTCAAATGTCACCTGGAAAAAGGAATATTTAAAACTATACAAAATTAACTTAAAAAGAGAACCAATGATGCACGTTTCCTGTCTGTCTGAGTACAGTCACATGTCTGCTTTGGTAAAAGTTTTTGTGTAGAAATAAAAAAGTTAACTTTTATGATGTTGACACAAAATAAAATTTTGGGGTGTGTTGATTGGTTTGAAAATAGTAATTTCAATGATATTACTCATAAAGCTGAATTTGACTCCATGCTGGTGACCTAATTCAAAAGCACAGCACTTTTAATTATTTAACACACAAAAGACCATGCCTGAAATTAATTGTGGCAGCTGATGAACTGTTTAGAAAAGACTTTGGGAAGCAAAACTAGAACTGCATATATTTTTAGTCAAAATTGTGGTTTTTTTTCATTTATATTGTAAGTCAGGGTGTACAAAGAGCAATGCGTAAAATGAGCATTTAATTCATTGTTTCTTTTTCATAAGTTATAGTTAAGTAAGTTGATTTCTTACATGCATACTGCAAAATAAAGTGAACTATAAAGGGTAGTATAGAGGTTGTACATAAAAACACAGGGTTGCATTGTATCCTGATACTCAGTGTGGGCTTCAGAGTACTTATGTACTTTAGATTGATATTTGCCCTGCAGTGTCATGCATTTGAAAACCCTCCATGTTATTTGGTCGGTTGTGTTTTTCATCTGTTTTAAAATGTCCCACAGAGCCCTCTTCACAAACTGGTCTGCCTCTGACCAAAGAGTGTTCGACATACCTGGCCTTTCTCCTGATATGATGCAGCTCATTATTGAGTTTGCCTACACTGGCTCAGTGTGTGTGACCAGTGACAATGTCCAGGAGCTTTTGGTCGCTGCCGATCAGTTCAACATCATGGATATTGTGAAGGCCTGCTGTGGCTTCCTGGAAAAAGAGCTTTCTCCAGAGAACTGCATCGGCATCTGGCAGCTCACCAAAATCATCCTCTGCTATGGACTGCAGGAGAAGGCTTATTGCTACATCACTGATCACTTTGAGGAGGTAGCTTCCCACGAGGAGTTCCTGGAGCTGTCTCTGCAGGAGCTTGCAGACTTCCTGGAGAAAGACGAACTCAATGTAAAAAATGAGAAGACCACGTTTGAGTTTGTTGTTCACTGGATCAACCACAGACGGGGAGAACGGGAAGAGCACATCAGTGTACTTTTGTCAAAGGTAAGTAGGCCTTGGGGGGTTCCCATAACCACACGGAATGAAAAAACTACTACCATTGCATTTTGGTGGTTGTAATTATGAGCAAAAGAATTTGTTTTTGAGGGAAAAACTGAACAAATGATGGATCATAATTATGCATCACAAGGGCTTCTTGTCCTTGAAAGCCACCATCACTTCACCAATGGACGGGGTGAGCAAGGGAGCATTTAAATCCAGAATCTGATGGCTAGGTACCATTAAAGACTAAACACTGTACCCAGGCCCGGATTAAACCTTCTATATAGCAAGCATTATAAATAAAAGTGCAAGGCATGATATGAAGGCCTGTTATGGTTATACAATTTGTTTTGTTTAAAGGATTGCTACACTGAGATTTGAGAATTTTATTATTTTATATTTGTTCTACATTTGTCTGCATTTGTGTTTTGATCTTTCTTTTCATATTCTGTAGGGACTGATAAATGTCAGAGGTTTTGACACTGTGATACTTGAATAAATGTTTTATACCATATTTTGAATTAATTCAGACCTTTTGTGCATTTATTTTTGTCTTGTTACATTTTTCCATTATTCCAATTTTGGGAATTTGACTGACTTTCAGCCATTTATGGCCATGATGTGCTGTTTATATTTCATTGCTTTTATTACACAGTAGGTTGTGTCATTTTTATGTATGAAACATAAGCTTTTAGCTAAATTTACTGTATATATTTCATTGTGCTGGGTGCAAATCACTTGAGTTGAGACGTTTTCTTCAAGAAATTTGCTACATTTCATAATCTGAATTCACTTATGCATATACTAAGGCACCAATAACTGTTTCAGATGTTAGGTAGATGTATTTATGACATCTGAGAAAGATTTTGTCTTGTCAGAATCAACATAGCAGTTTCTACAAGCAAAAACAGCAGCACCATATAATCGTTTTTTGTGTTACTCACATATATGTACATTTCTGGCTGGTCTTTTGTCTCACCCTGTAGAGAAAGCCACTTTCTAATACTAGTTCTGTAAGTTTCCCAACGTGGCCTTGTAAAGTGGAGAACGTCTTCACTCTGGACAGATGATAGATGCATATAGCATCGTTTTCGTTCCTTTTTGATGCACTTTTGAAGGCTGTTTTCTTTTTTTCCTTTTAATTTCTTCCTCTTCGTTTGTCTCGCTGCTAGATGCGCTCGTCGCCATGTTTGTGTATTTCTGATACTATGGCAACGAGACTCGGCTCCTATTGGTCCACGTGACAAAAATCGCTTCACCCCTCTGCATATTCGATTGCGCGTGTGCAAGTATCACTGCGCCGCAGAAAGGAAATAGTTCGACACCGAAACACTGATTACTAAAAATCGACGGGATGGCATGAGTAGAAATTTTTTTTAGTACTCACTATCAATATAGCTGTTTTATGAATCATAGTTTATGTTGCCCCACTGAAGTGAAACGAGATTCACTTTCTAGGCACTTTTTCCTCTGTCCCAATACAGCCTAATCCTTTTTTTTTTTTTTTATTATTGAACAAGACAGACAGTACAACCAACGAGAGACACATCACAACAATAACGACAAAAACAGAAAACAAAACACAACCATACAACAGCCAGAGGACTTACAGTTCAATGGTACAGAATTTCTTCATTACGGAGTAAGTTTTGGTAGCTTTCTTGTTCGTAATGTCCTTGATCGTGGCAGCATAACGGAGCAGTTCATTTTTGAAGGGTGCAATGTTTGGCTTGGATTTGGCCCATTTGTTTTTGTGAATATGGAATTTCCCCAAGCTCAGCCTAATCCTCCTCACACCGGGCGCAGCTCACCAGCGTCATAGCGGCCTCTGCTCGGGCTGAGTGGCCCCCCATAGCCAAACGCCCTGAGGCTTCAGCCTCACTATGCCTCATGGTTAATCCGGCTCTGACTGTACCCTAAAAGTCCAGCAGGTATTGTGGCATTTTTACAGCAGTTAAATTAGCCCAGAAACAAATCTGCAGGTTTGTGGCAGCTCTACCCGGCCTCTATCATTCCCTGGCCTCGGATTTCCTGAATCAAGTCAGGACAGCCACAACCTTATCTAACATGGAGAAGGTGTTAGCACCTTTGAGACTCTGGGTACATCTCAAGTTTCTTCTTTGAAGTTTTAGAGGCTGTCCCAGACCTGCCAATTCGCAGACTATCCCACAGCTCTTTTTTTTTTTAAAGAAATCTCTTCCTGGTTTCTCTCCAGGCATCCTTTATGAAGATATACTTGCTTTTTTTACCTTTGCATACACAACTGACTGCATTATGAACTTAACTGTGCACTAATTGACACTTAGCATTGCACTCAGCATGTTAAAGCAGGATATGTTAGAGGGCACAGCAGAGCTCAGGTTGTATGCAACTATCAGATTCAGGGATGTAAGAATGACATAGCAGAAGTCACAGAGGAAGTCACTGTTAATATATTTTTAAACATAAATTGAACCGATCTCTTATCCAGCTGTTTTGACTGGGATGTTAGCGACACATTGCGCAGATTTGGAGACTTGATATTCAAGTCGCTCTGAAACATGTCCTGTCACTGTTGTTCCTCCTGCTGTGTTGACTGTCACATCTCTATATCTACACTGCTCCTCCTCATTTATGTGCATACTTCCTCTCCAGCCTGAGTCCTGTAATTTTTTTTAAGAATGTGCAAAGTCGACATGGTGATCAGACACAGAAATAATGTCAGATATCGTAAACCAACTATCAAACACAGCCACTGTGGCAGCCATGGATGTGGAACAAATGAAATCTGCTCCTGCATCTGTATTAGAAAGTGTTTCATGCTGCATATAAAATGGAAAACATATAGGTTCCTAAGTCATGTGCACTCAAACATCCAAATCCAAGGTAATGTGAGATCAATCCCTCATCTTTTAGAAATCACATTTCAGTTGACAATTTCTCATTTTGTCTGTGTAGGTCCGTCTGTCTTTGACGAGTGAGGAGTACATCATCAGCTGTGTCATGTCCAATGAGCTAGTGAGAAACAACGCTCACTGCATGCAGGAGCTTCGTGGCTTGGCACAAATCACTGAGAGTGGACCCCCTGATGTCTTTAACCCCTATTCCTGCCCTCGCCTGCCTCCCGCCATCCTGTTGGCTATAGGGGGCTGGAGCGGTGGTGATCCGACCAATGGAATCGAGGCGTACGATGTCCGAGCCAACCACTGGCACAATTTTACAGACAATTCAGAGCATCCTCGAGCCTATCATGGCATAGCCTACCTCAATGGAAGTGTCTACTGTGTCGGTGGATTTGACCGGTTGGAGCATTTCAACAGCGTTCGCCGGTTGGACTTGAGCACATATACCTGGCATGAAGTAGCGCCGATGTACTGCCGAAGGTGCTATGTTACTGTTACTGTGCTGGACGGGTGGATCTATGCCTTAGGAGGGTTTGATGGTCATACACGACTCAATACTGCTGAGCGTTACAGGCCAGAGACCAACCAGTGGAGTATGATTCCACCCATGAATGAGCGGAGGAGCGATGCTGATTGCACGACACTGAATAACAAGGTGGGTGAGACAGAAGAGCACTGATGATTTGATTTGCTGTATCTACTTAAAAAAAGATTTGATTCAGTCAAACTTGCAGCACTTTAAGAAGGACAGGTGTAAGGAAACTGAATGAGGTCAAAATCCCTGATTAGTTTTTTGACCTTTCAAATGTGTGTTTAAAGCCCCCTGTGAGGATTTTTCAGCTGGTGATAAAAACAGACTGAAATTTTGGTGTCTCTCTATAACCTACAAATGCAAACTAAACCATCAGGGGAAAAAGCTGATGATTTATTTGTTCTCATAATTAATGCCTGATACCAGTGATGCAGGTTAGGACAAGACAAGGTCTCATCTGTGTTGTGCTCATTAAGTTTGGTTTGTGTGTGTCTTGATAGTGGGAACAAAGTTATCTAAAAAAGGAAAAACTATCCTGTTCTTCCCAGGTTTACATATGTGGAGGCTTCAATGGGCTGGACTGCCTGCAAACATGTGAAAACTACTGCCCAGAAACTAACCAGTGGACGGTGATCAGCCCCATGAACAACCCGCGCAGTGGGATTGGCGTCGCGGCATACTCAGGCTACATTTATGCTGTAAGTCCATTCAGTCACTGATAGTTTGTTCAAAAGCAATAAAACAAACTAGATGTTAAAATCAACAAACTGACATAGGTTTTCCCAGCTGCTTTGTCATTTATAAGTACTAAATAGTTATTTTGGTAACACTTTACAATAACCATAATTTATAAATGGTAAATAGATAGTCTATTAATGTTTTATCATCATTTAGAAACAGCATATAGACCAATTATAAATGGCAAATAGATAGTTTATTAATATAAGTTATATAGTTACTTTATCATTGACAAACGGTGAAATTATGATTAAGAATTTTCATTACTTATTGATAGACTATTTATTACAGGTTTATATAGGGTTTAAATATTGGTTGTAAAACATCTAGATTAAAATGTGTGTCAGTAGCACTTTGTAAATGGTTAATATTTGGTTTAAAACCAAATATAAACATTACTTAGACGGTTATTATAGAGGTGGAACTGATGTTTGTAATACTTTGTAAATGATGAATAAGTGGTTTTTAAACCACCTATAAACATGACTTAGATGGTTATTGTAAAGTCAGGGTTAGGGTTAGGGTTAGGATTTTAAAAATGTAAAATTTACAATTTATTAATGGTCTATATGCTATTTATAAATGATGATAAAACATTAATAAACTATCTGCTCACTATATAAATGGTCTATTTACCATTTATACGTTATGGTTATTGTTAAGTGTTACCGTTGTATTTCTTCAGATTTAGAAACTATAATTGTGAAATGTGGGGAAATCGGGTTCAGTCCAGTTTCACTGATTCTCCAACTTTACCGCTTTAGGTTGGTGGCTTTGATGGCAATGCCCGTCTGCGCAGTGCAGAGGCTTACAACCCCCAGACCAACGCCTGGAACGAAATACCCTCCATGCAAAACCCTCGCAGCAACTTTGGAATTGAAGTGCTCGATGATTGCCTCTTTGTTGTTGGGGGCTTCAACGGTTTCACCACCACATTTAACGTCGAATACTACGACGCCATAAACAGTACTTGGACTGAGGCTGCCGACATGGAGATTTTCCGCAGTGCTGTCAGCTGCTGCGTGGTGTCCGGGGTCAACAGGGACAGATTCATTATCCCTCGAGACAACCTGCTACATGCCGTGGAGACTGAGTTTGCCGACTCAGGAGAGTCCTCCTAACACCAGGCTGTAGTGCAGGCCTGCCCTGTACCACCACCAAGGGCTTGGACCTCTAACCCCAAAATTTTAAATAAACTTCTTTGAGCATTACACCATGGTTGCTTTGATCATTTTCAAACATTTTAGCATGTTTAAGGAATATGTTTCCTTTTAAAAGGTCAATGTGTCCAAAATGCAAACACAAGATTCAATCCAAATTGCACGATTGCATTAATATCTTCTCTGAACAGCCCTGTAAATAGGTTCAAGTAGCTTAATGAAATCTGTTTGATTACATTCATTTTCATCCACCGCCTCTTTGTTTAGTTATTACAAACGGCTCCGCAGATACTGTGTAATCAGAAGTGTCTGTATTTAGCAGCCTTTCATCAAAATAATGCTCTCTCCTACCGTTCGCTTTGCTATTATTACAGCAAAATGTTGTAAACTTGGCTCAGATTTCTCTTGGATGAGATCTTTACTCAGAGAAACAAAAGGCTAACAAGCTAATTAGATCTTGGGCTACCTGCTGAGTTTGCCCCTGAGGAAAGCAGTCGTTTGATACAAGGAAGCAAGAGCAGACATTTAGGCCAGGGATACGTGTTTGCTCTGTTTCCAGGAGAACATAAATGTCTCTGAGGCATCCAAATATCAATCCATTTCAGCACATGTGCGAGTATATTTTACTTTCTGCTGATGATTTTTCTTGAGATCTCTTGTAAATAATAAATTTGGCTGGGCTTCTTTTGAAACTCAAAGGTTTGAAACTATTTTTCTTATGTTGATGTTAAAAATAGTGTTTAAATTATCTATTTGGTTAGATCTCGCTAGTTACATTTATAATATTAGACATAATAGTGGATAATAAAACATAAATCTACTTAAAGCTTAGGCTGAAATTTATATTGATGCCTTGTATGATGTACAAACGCAAACAGGACAATCAGGGACAAGATTAACAATTTTTGTATTGCAATTTTTAATGCCATAAACTAGTACGGGGGGGAGGTGTTGGTTGAGCAGCTAAAGAAACAGCTCTGTTTTTAAAATTTCACACAAATCAATAACAACATGTTGTGCATTTGAGTGTCAAAAGTAAAATAGATGAGCTCTAGTTAAGCATAAGGAGGAGAAGATAAACAAAGACTGCTTTGTCCGCAGGGGACGCCAAAACTGACATCTTTCAGAGGGGCTTCGCCAGTTTTAGAGTCACCAAAATAGTGGTGCTTTATTTGTAATGGTGGTTACATGTACCCTAAAAAATGTCCATCCGACAAAATAGCATAGGGTTTAAATTAATGTTTTCTTTTTCTAACTATCAAAAAGCAGGGTCTTCTTTCATAATATCAAATTTCCCCCTATCCTGACTTATCTTATAACCCAGCAACTAGTAGGGGAGAGTGGGGTAAGATGAGCCATTTTTCATAGTTCGGATCACTACATCCAGGCAATCATAGTTTTGTCTCTAACTAGTTTATCTGCATATATTTCAAGATGTTGGTCATCCCTGCAAACCAACTATGGTCAACTTAGGTCAACTGATTAGTCCTCTGAGCTAAAATGGTGGACTTTTATGCAATGTTTTTGACCTGATGTTGTAGCTCATAGATAACACAATTGATGAATAAAACAAATTTAAAATGATCTTTTTTGGTCTGAACACAATTCTTATAAAACTTATGACAGACTACATTCACGTTCAAGAGTAAAAAAATGTTTTTTTTGGTAATAAATGTCTAACCCCTTCACCCATGTGCTTCTAACCTTCAATGACTCCATGAATTGATGTCCATCTCGTAAATATTTAGTCACATGATCAATTTCTTTCACCATTTCCAAGCAACAGGGGGTGGCTCAACTTACCCCACTCTCCCTTAAGAACTGAGGGGCCCTGAAACTAACTTTGTGGGTCCTGCCAGCAACAATTTATTCACGCACACAGGTGTGATACAATGTTGTTCTCAACTTCCTCAGTCAGCTAAAGGGTCCAAATAAATTTCTACCTGCATTAAGTTAGCGTTATGTTACAGTTTCCTGAAAATGAGTCATTTACGGTTTCACTGGGGCTGTGTTTGGGGTTCTAGTTCAGCCTCATAAACAGAGGCTGTAGCCCTCACCGTGGCAACAACAGGTGTTATGACGACCTGCCATCCCCAACCCTCTTCTGTCTCTTTTTAAAACAAAACACAGAAAAACGGAACTCTGACATCCTCAAAGAGAATTGTCACTGTTTGAATTCCTAGCATCATTCCTATAAATTCAAAGCATCATCTCAAACAATCAGTCTCATTTAAGACCTACCAACAGTCAACATCTGAGAATAGAGGCTTAGACAAAACCATCAAAATGAGCGACAGAGGCATGCTGCCCTGCTCCCTTTTTAACGAAATTCGTCTGGATGGGGCCCTTTGTGACGCAGTCGTCAGAGTTCAGCATGTGGAGTTTAATATCCACAAAATTCTTCTCTGTGGTTGTAGTAACTACTTTCGGTAAGTTCACTCTCTGATTTCAAATGTCACCTGGAAAAAGGAATATTTAAAACTATACAAAATTAACTTAAAAAGAGAACCAATGATGCACGTTTCCTGTCTGTCTGAGTACAGTCACATGTCTGCTTTGGTAAAAGTTTTTGTGTAGAAATAAAAAAGTTAACTTTTATGATGTTGACACAAAATAAAATTTTGGGGTGTGTTGATTGGTTTGAAAATAGTAATTTCAATGATATTACTCATAAAGCTGAATTTGACTCCATGCTGGTGACCTAATTCAAAAGCACAGCACTTTTAATTATTTAACACACAAAAGACCATGCCTGAAATTAATTGTGGCAGCTGATGAACTGTTTAGAAAAGACTTTGGGAAGCAAAACTAGAACTGCATATATTTTTAGTCAAAATTGTGGTTTTTTTTCATTTATATTGTAAGTCAGGGTGTACAAAGAGCAATGCGTAAAATGAGCATTTAATTCATTGTTTCTTTTTCATAAGTTATAGTTAAGTAAGTTGATTTCTTACATGCATACTGCAAAATAAAGTGAACTATAAAGGGTAGTATAGAGGTTGTACATAAAAACACAGGGTTGCATTGTATCCTGATACTCAGTGTGGGCTTCAGAGTACTTATGTACTTTAGATTGATATTTGCCCTGCAGTGTCATGCATTTGAAAACCCTCCATGTTATTTGGTCGGTTGTGTTTTTCATCTGTTTTAAAATGTCCCACAGAGCCCTCTTCACAAACTGGTCTGCCTCTGACCAAAGAGTGTTCGACATACCTGGCCTTTCTCCTGATATGATGCAGCTCATTATTGAGTTTGCCTACACTGGCTCAGTGTGTGTGACCAGTGACAATGTCCAGGAGCTTTTGGTCGCTGCCGATCAGTTCAACATCATGGATATTGTGAAGGCCTGCTGTGGCTTCCTGGAAAAAGAGCTTTCTCCAGAGAACTGCATCGGCATCTGGCAGCTCACCAAAATCATCCTCTGCTATGGACTGCAGGAGAAGGCTTATTGCTACATCACTGATCACTTTGAGGAGGTAGCTTCCCACGAGGAGTTCCTGGAGCTGTCTCTGCAGGAGCTTGCAGACTTCCTGGAGAAAGACGAACTCAATGTAAAAAATGAGAAGACCACGTTTGAGTTTGTTGTTCACTGGATCAACCACAGACGGGGAGAACGGGAAGAGCACATCAGTGTACTTTTGTCAAAGGTAAGTAGGCCTTGGGGGGTTCCCATAACCACACGGAATGAAAAAACTACTACCATTGCATTTTGGTGGTTGTAATTATGAGCAAAAGAATTTGTTTTTGAGGGAAAAACTGAACAAATGATGGATCATAATTATGCATCACAAGGGCTTCTTGTCCTTGAAAGCCACCATCACTTCACCAATGGACGGGGTGAGCAAGGGAGCATTTAAATCCAGAATCTGATGGCTAGGTACCATTAAAGACTAAACACTGTACCCAGGCCCGGATTAAACCTTCTATATAGCAAGCATTATAAATAAAAGTGCAAGGCATGATATGAAGGCCTGTTATGGTTATACAATTTGTTTTGTTTAAAGGATTGCTACACTGAGATTTGAGAATTTTATTATTTTATATTTGTTCTACATTTGTCTGCATTTGTGTTTTGATCTTTCTTTTCATATTCTGTAGGGACTGATAAATGTCAGAGGTTTTGACACTGTGATACTTGAATAAATGTTTTATACCATATTTTGAATTAATTCAGACCTTTTGTGCATTTATTTTTGTCTTGTTACATTTTTCCATTATTCCAATTTTGGGAATTTGACTGACTTTCAGCCATTTATGGCCATGATGTGCTGTTTATATTTCATTGCTTTTATTACACAGTAGGTTGTGTCATTTTTATGTATGAAACATAAGCTTTTAGCTAAATTTACTGTATATATTTCATTGTGCTGGGTGCAAATCACTTGAGTTGAGACGTTTTCTTCAAGAAATTTGCTACATTTCATAATCTGAATTCACTTATGCATATACTAAGGCACCAATAACTGTTTCAGATGTTAGGTAGATGTATTTATGACATCTGAGAAAGATTTTGTCTTGTCAGAATCAACATAGCAGTTTCTACAAGCAAAAACAGCAGCACCATATAATCGTTTTTTGTGTTACTCACATATATGTACATTTCTGGCTGGTCTTTTGTCTCACCCTGTAGAGAAAGCCACTTTCTAATACTAGTTCTGTAAGTTTCCCAACGTGGCCTTGTAAAGTGGAGAACGTCTTCACTCTGGACAGATGATAGATGCATATAGCATCGTTTTCGTTCCTTTTTGATGCACTTTTGAAGGCTGTTTTCTTTTTTTCCTTTTAATTTCTTCCTCTTCGTTTGTCTCGCTGCTAGATGCGCTCGTCGCCATGTTTGTGTATTTCTGATACTATGGCAACGAGACTCGGCTCCTATTGGTCCACGTGACAAAAATCGCTTCACCCCTCTGCATATTCGATTGCGCGTGTGCAAGTATCACTGCGCCGCAGAAAGGAAATAGTTCGACACCGAAACACTGATTACTAAAAATCGACGGGATGGCATGAGTAGAAATTTTTTTTAGTACTCACTATCAAGGAGCTTGAGACGTGGCTATCGGCAGTAGACAAGTCTGGCTTACCCGGCAGGTTTAAGGCGTGGATTTACCAGCATGGCGTCTTACCCCGAGTACTCTGGCCTCTGTTGGTGTACGAGGTGCCCCTGTCGACTGTAGAGACTCTGGAGAGAAAGATCAGCGGATACCTCCGTAGATGGATGGGCTTCCCACGCAGCCTATCCAGTGCAGCACTGTATGGAAAGACCAACAAACTCCAGCTCCCTTTCAGTAGCCTAGAGGAGGAGTTCAGGGTCTCTCGCACAAGAGAGGCTTTGCTCTATCGGGACTCCAAGGACTCCAAGGTAGCATCAGCGGGCATCGTGGTGCGAACTGGCAGGAAGTGGAGGGCTCAAGATGGTCTGGAGGTAGCCGAGTCTCGGCTGAGACACAGGGCTCTGGTGGGCTCGGTGGCAACGGGTCGAGCTGGGCTGGGAGTGTTCCCTCAACCGCGCTACGAGAAGGCACATGGCAAGGACAAACGACAGCTAGTCCTGAGGGAGGTGCGGATAGGGGTCGAGGAGGAACGGACCAGCAGGATGGTGGGCATGCAGCAGCAGGGAGCATGGACAAGGTGGGAGGGTGCGCTGGAGAGGAAGGTGACCTGGTCTGAGATCTGGCAGGCAGAACCGCAGCGCATAGGGTTCATGGTTCGTGCTGTCTACGATGTCCTGCCCAGCCCAGCCAATCTCCATCTCTGGGGTCTGGGCGACTCTCCAGCCTGTGCCCTGTGCTCCAGGAAAGGCTCTCTGGAGCACATCCTAAGCAGCTGTTCGATAGCCCTTGGGGAGGGTCGTTACCGCTGGCGGCACGACCAGGTGCTGAAGTCTGTTGCTGTAACTATCTCCAAAGCTGTGGCCAAAAACAACAGCCGCAAGCAACAACCTGGCAACAGGAACATCGCCTTTGTCAGGGCTGGAGAGCAGCCACAGTCACAGCCCAAACCAGCAGCTGGCCTCCTCACCTCAGCGGTGGACTGGGATCTCAGAGTTGACCTTGGCAAGCAGCTCAAGTTTCCAGACCAGATCACAACAACTTCCCTGAGGCCAGACATCGTGCTATCATCAGTCTCTTCAAAGCAGGTGCTCCTGTTAGAGCTGACAGTTCCCTGGGAGGATCGCATAGAGGAGGCAAACGAGCGGAAGCGGTCAAAGTACCAGGAGCTGGTCGAGCAATGCCAAAGAGGAGGGTGGAAGGCACGGTGTGAACCCATTGAAGTGGGGTGCAGGGGCTTTGCTGGCCGCTCATTGTGCAAGGTTTATTCGCTACTTGGCATCACCGGGGCTGCAAAAAGGTCAGCCATCAAGTCCACCATGGAGGCGGCAGAGAGAGCCTCCAGGTGGCTGTGGATCAGGAGGAGCGAACTGTGGGCCATTGCTACTGGGACACAAGCCAGGGTCTGATCAACCCTAGGCTGGGTCACCTGAGGGAGGACGTATGATGTTGAAAGACCCGAAACGTCCGATGAACTCAGGAACATCACTGATGATGTGTCCCAGCTGCATCTCATGATGTATCTTCAATCATTCGAATCTGGCTTAGCCAGTGACACCCAGGAACAGGCTGGGCGACGACCAGGAACAGGCTGGTGACGATTGGAGAGACAATTGACAGCCCGGAAAGACGGCAACCGGGGCAGGAAGGGGTAGCATCCCAACTTGTTTCTTCCGTGAGGGAGAACCCTACCAAGCTACAGAACGACCTACTGAGAAATACCCCCAGGGGAACCCGAGAGGGGGGGAGGATGAGTTCCCCAACAGAACGGACACAACGTTGACGACTTTGGCAAACGGCTTATCGACGACGACAATCGCAAGATGCAAATGTGGCAAGGTTTGCAAGAACGCGCTCGGCCTAAAAATCCATCAAGGCCGAATGAAATGCTTGGTCCAGGAGAGTGCAACACAGCACACAGGACGTAGTCCTGGTGAGACGACGGAGGAGCCCGGCCGGGAGACACCCCACAGAGCCCAGAACCTCCAAGTGCCTAGCTCTCCAGCTCATAGCAGAGTAGTTCAACAGCGTCGTATCAAGTGGCCTCCAGCAAACCAACACAAAGTGTGGCACCAGTTCGATGAGGATGTCACCACAATCATCGAATCAACAGCAAAGGGGGATGTTGACAGACGACTTCAGACCATGACCACCATCATTGTCACCTATGGAACGGAGAGGTACGGTGTGGAAGAGTGCAAATCCACCAGACCCAACTACACCTTGAACCGTAGAGCAGAAATGATCCATCAACTGCGGCAGGAGCTCCGGTCCCTGGCAAGACAGTACAAGGCAGCAACTGAGGAGGAGAAACCACCACTGGCAGAGCTCAGAAACATCATCAGGAAGAAACTCACAACCCTGCGCAGAGCTGAATGGCACAGGAGACGCAGGAGAGAGAGAGCCAGGAAGCGAACTGCTTTCATAGCGGATCCATTTGGATTCACCAAACAGCTTTTGGGGCAGAAGCGCAGTGGGCGTCTAGCCTGCTCCAAGGAGGAGGTAGACCACTTCCTGGAAAGCAACCTGAGCGACCCTGACAGAGAGCAAGCCCTAGGGCCCCTCAGTGCCTTATTGGACATACCATCTCCCACTGTCGACTTCAACATCTGCGAGCCCACCTGGAAGGAAATCCAGGAGGTGGTCGCTGCTGCCAGAGCCAGATCAGCTCCAGGACCCAGTGGCGTTCCTTACAAGGTGTACAAGCGCTGCCCTGGGCTCCTTAGAATCCTCTGGAAGATCCTGCGTGTGATCTGGCGCAGAGGAGCTGTGGCGGATCAGTGGAGGCAGGCGGAGGGTGTCTGGATACCCAAGGAAGAGAATTCCACCAAGCTGGAGCAATTCAGAACCATCTCGCTTCTCAGCGACGAGGGGAAGATTTTCTTCAGCATCCTCTCCAGAAGGTTGACAGACTTTCTCCTAAAGAATGCCTACATTGACACCTCTGTCCAGAAAGGTGGTATCCCCGGTGTGCCAGGATGCCTAGAACACACTGGAGTTGTCACCCAGCTGATCAGGGAGGCACGGGAGGGCAAGGGAGACCTCGTCGTGCTCTGGCTGGACCTGGCCAATGCCTTCGGCTCCATACCCCACAAGCTCGTTGAGACTACCCTAGACCGTCACCATGTACCCAGGAAGATCAAGGACCTCATCCTGAATTACTACGGGAACTTCAGGCTCAGAGTCACTTCTGGGAGCACAACATCTGACTGGCACAGGCTCGAAAAGGGCATTATAACTGGGTGCACCATCTCGGTTGGCCTCTTTGCCCTGGCCATGAATATGGTAGTCAAGGCAGCTGAAAGGGAGTGCAGAGGTCCTCTGTCCAAGTCTGGCATTCGACAACCACCCATCAGAGCCTTTATGGACGATCTCACCGTCACCATAACATCTGTGCCTGGTGGAAGATGGATACTCCAGGGCCTGGAAAAGCTCATATCCTGGGCAAGAATGAGCTTCAAACCAACTAAATCCAGGTCGATGGTGTTGAAGAAGGGAAAAGTGGCAGACAAGTTTCGCTTCCTCGTGGATGGCACGGCAATCCCATCTATCACCGAGAAACCAGTCAAGAGCCTGGGCAAGATTTTTGACTGTAGTCTCAGGGATTCTGCATCAATCCAGATCACCATCAAGGAGCTTGAGACGTGGCTATCGGCAGTAGACAAGTCTGGCTTACCCGGCAGGTTTAAGGCGTGGATTTACCAGCATGGCGTCTTACCCCGAGTACTCTGGCCTCTGTTGGTGTACGAGGTGCCCCTGTCGACTGTAGAGACTCTGGAGAGGAAGATCAGCGGATACCTCTGTAGATGGATGGGCTTCCCACGCAGCCTATCCAGTGCAGCACTGTATGGAAAGACCAACAAACTCCAGCTCCCTTTCAGTAGCCTAGAGGAGGAGTTCAGGGTCTCTCGCACAAGAGAGGCTTTGCTCTATCGGGACTCCAAGGACTCCAAGGTAGCATCAGCGGGCATCGTGGTGCGAACTGGCAGGAAGTGGAGGGCTCAAGATGGTCTGGAGGTAGCCGAGTCTCGGCTGAGACACAGGGCTCTGGTGGGCTCGGTGGCAACGGGTCGAGCTGGGCTGGGAGTGTTCCCTCAACTGCGCTACGAGAAGGCACATGGCAAGGACAAACGACAGCTAGTCCTGAGGGAGGTGCGGATAGGGGTCGAGGAGGAACGGACCAGCAGGATGGTGGGCATGCAGCAGCAGGGAGCATGGACAAGGTGGGAGGGTGCGCTGGAGAGGAAGGTGACCTGGTCTGAGATCTGGCAGGCAGAACCGCAGCGCATAGGGTTCATGGTTCGTGCTGTCTACGATGTCCTGCCCAGCCCAGCCAATCTCCATCTCTGGGGTCTGGGCGACTCTCCCAGCCTGTGCCCTGTGCTCCAGGAAAGGCTCTCTGGAGCACATCCTAAGCAGCTGTTCGATAGCCCTTGGGGAGGGTCGTTACCGCTGGCGGCACGACCAGGTGCTGAAGTCTGTTGCTGTAACTATCTCCAAAGCTGTGGCCAAAAACAACAGCCGCAAGCAACAACCTGGCAACAGGAACATCGCCTTTGTCAGGGCTGGAGAGCAGCCACAGTCACAGCCCAAACCAGCAGCTGGCCTCCTCACCTCAGCGGTGGACTGGGATCTCAGAGTTGACCTTGGCAAGCAGCTCAAGTTTCCAGACCAGATCACAACAACTTCCCTGAGGCCAGACATCGTGCTATCATCAGTCTCTTCAAAGCAGGTGCTCCTGTTAGAGCTGACAGTTCCCTGGGAGGATCGCATAGAGGAGGCAAACGAGCGGAAGCGGTCAAAGTACCAGGAGCTGGTCGAGCAATGCCAAAGAGGAGGGTGGAAGGCACGGTGTGAACCCATTGAAGTGGGGTGCAGGGGCTTTGCTGGCCGCTCATTGTGCAAGGTTTATTCGCTACTTGGCATCACCGGGGCTGCAAAAAGGTCAGCCATCAAGTCCACCATGGAGGCGGCAGAGAGAGCCTCCAGGTGGCTGTGGATCAGGAGGAGCGAACTGTGGGCCATTGCTACTGGGACACAAGCCAGGGTCTGATCAACCCTAGGCTGGGTCACCTGAGGGAGGACGTATGATGTTGAAAGACCCGAAACGTCCGATGAACTCAGGAACATCACTGATGATGTGTCCCAGCTGCATCTCATGATGTATCTTCAATCAATATAGCTGTTTTATGAATCATAGTTTATGTTGCCCCACTGAAGTGAAACGAGATTCACTTTCTAGGCACTTTTTCCTCTGTCCCAATACAGCCTAATCCTTTTTTTTTTTTTTTTTTTTTTTTTTTTTTTATTATTGAACAAGACAGACAGTACAACCAACGAGAGACACATCACAACAATAACGACAAAAACAGAAAACAAAACACAACCATACAACAGCCAGAGGACTTACAGTTCAATGGTACAGAATTTCTTCATTATGGAGTAAGTTTTGGTAGCTTTCTTGTTCGTAATGTCCTTGATCGTGGCTGCATAACGGAGCAGTTCATTTTTGAAGGGTGCAATGTTTGGCTTGGATTTGGCCCATTTGTTTTTGTGATATGGAATTTCCCCAAGCTCAGCCTAATCCTCCTCACACCGGGCGCAGCTCACCAGCGTCATAGCGGCCTCTGCTCGGGCTGAGTGGCCCCCCATAGCCAAACGCCCTGAGGCTTCAGCCTCACTATGCCTCATGGTTAATCCGGCTCTGACTGTACCCTAAAAGTCCAGCAGGTATTGTGGCATTTTTACAGCAGTTAAATTAGCCCAGAAACAAATCTGCAGGTTTGTGTTTTATGTTTGTGGCAGCTCTACCCGGCCTCTATCATTCCCTGGCCTCAGATTTCCTGAATCAAGTCAGGACAGCCACAACCTTATCTAACATGGAGAAGGTGTTAGCACCTTTGAGACTCTGGGTACATCTCAAGTTTCTTCTTTGAAGTTTTAGAGGCTGTCCCAGACCTGCCAATTCGCAGACTATCCCACAGCTCTTTTTTTTTTTTTTAAAGAAATCTCTTCCTGATTTCTCTCCAGGCATCCTTTATGAAGATATACTTGCTTTTTTAGCTTTGCATACACAACTGACTGCATTATGAACTTAACTGTGCATTAATTGACACTTAGCATTGCACTCAGCATGTTAAAGCAGGATATGTTAGAGGGCACAGCAGAGCTCAGGTTGTATGCAACTATCAGATTCAGGGATGTAAGAATGACATAGCAGAAGTCACAGAGGAAGTCACTGTTAATATATTTTTAAACATAAATTGAACCGATCTCTTATCCAGCTGTTTTGACTGGGATGTTAGCGACACATTGCGCAGATTTGGAGACGTGATATTCAAGTCGCTCTGAAACATGTCCTGTCACTGTTGTTCCTCCTGCTGTGTTGACTGTCACATCTCTATATCTACACTGCTCCTCCTCATTTATGTGCATACTTCCTCTCCAGCCTGTGTCCTGTAATTTTTTTTAAGAATGTGCAAAGTCGACATGGTGATCAGACACAGAAATAATGTCAGATATCGTAAACCAACTATCAAACACAGCCACTGTGGCAGCCATGGATGTGGAACAAATGAAATCTGCTCCTGCATCTGTATTAGAAAGTGTTTCATGCTGCATATAAAATGGAAAACATATACTGTAGGTTCCTAAGTCATGTGCACTCAAACATCCAAATCCAAGGTAATGTGAGATCAATCCCTCATCTTTTAGAAATCACATTTCAGTTGACAATTTCTCATTTTGTCTGTGTAGGTCCGTCTGTCTTTGACGAGTGAGGAGTACATCATCAGCTGTGTCATGTCCAATGAGCTAGTGAGAAACAACGCTCACTGCATGCAGGAGCTTCGTGGCTTGGCACAAATCACTGAGAGTGGACCCCCTGATGTCTTTAACCCCTATTCCTGCCCTCGCCTGCCTCCCGCCATCCTGTTGGCTATAGGGGGCTGGAGCGGTGGTAATCCGACCAATGGAATCGAGGCGTACGATGTCCGAGCCAACCACTGGCACAATTTTACAGACAATTCAGAGCATCCTCGAGCCTATCATGGCATAGCCTACCTCAATGGAAGTGTCTACTGTGTCGGTGGATTTGACCGGTTGGAGCATTTCAACAGCGTTCGCCGGTTGGACTTGAGCACATATACCTGGCATGAAGTAGCGCCGATGTACTGCCGAAGGTGCTATGTTAGTGTTACTGTGCTGGATGGGTGGATCTATGCCTTAGGAGGGTTTGATGTTCATACACGACTCAATACTGCTGAGCGTTACAGGCCAGAGACCAACCAGTGGAGTATGATTCCACCCATGAATGAGCGGAGGAGCGATGCTGATTGCACGACACTGAATAACAAGGTGGGTGAGACAGAAGAGCACTGATGATTTGATTTGCTGTATCTACTTAAAAAAAGATTTGATTCAGTCAAACTTGCAGCACTTTAAGAAGGACAGGTGTAAGGAAACTGAATGAGGTCAAAATCCCTGATTAGTTTTTTGACCTTTCAAATGTGTGTTTAAAAGCCCCCTGTGAGGATTTTTCAGCTGGTGATAAAAACAGACTGAAATTAATATTGGTGTCTCTCTATGACCTACAAATGCAAACTAAACCATCAGGGGAAAAAGCTGATGATTTATTTGTTCTCATAATTAATGCCTGATACCAGTGATGCAGGTTAGGACAAGACAAGGTCTCATCTGTGTTGTGCTCGTTAAGATTGGTTTGTGTGTGTCTTGATATTGGGAACAAAGTTATCTAAAAAAGGAAAAACTATCCTGTTCTACCCAGGTTTACGTATGTGGAGGCTTCAATGGGCTGGACTGCCTGCAAACATGTGAATACTACTGCCCAGAAACTAACCAGTGGACAGTGATCAGCCCCATGAACAACCCGCGCAGTGGGATTGGCGTCGTGGCATACTCAGGCTACATCTATGCTGTAAGTCCATTCAGTCACTGATAGTTTGTTCAAAAGCAATAAAACAAACTAGATGTTAAAATCAACAAACTGACATAGGTTTTCCCAGCTGCTTTGTCATTTATAAGTACTAAATAGTTATTTTGGTAACACTTTACAATAACCATAATTTATAAATGGTAAATAGATAGTCTATTAATGTTTTATCATCATTTAGAAACAGCATATAGACCAATTAGAAATGGCAAATAGTTTGTTAATGTAAGTTATATAGTTACTTTATCATTAACAAGCAATGAAATTATGATTAAGAATTTTCATTACTTATTGATAGACTATTTATTAAAGGTTTATATAGGGTTTAAATATTGGTTGTAAAACATCTAGATTAAAATGTGTGTCAGTAGCACTTTGTTAATGGTTAATATTTGGTTTAAAACCAAATATAAACATGACTTAGACGGTTATTGTAAAGTTGCAACTGATGTTTGTAATACATTGTAAATGATGAATAAGTGGTTTTTAAACCACCTATAAACATTACTTAGATGGTTATTGTAAAGTCAGGGTTAGTGTTAGGATTTTAAGAATGTAAAATTTACAATTTATTAATGGTCTATATGCTATTTATAAATGATGATAAAACATTAATAAACTATCTGCTCACTATATAAATGGTCTATTTACCATTTATACGTTATGGTTATTGTTAAGTGTTACCGTTGTATTTCTTCAGATTTAGAAACTATAATTGTGAAATGTGGGGAAATCGGGTTCAGTCCAGTTTCACTGATTCTCCAACTTTACCGTTTTAGGTTGGTGGCTTTGATGGCAATGCCCGTCTGCGCAGTGCAGAGGCTTACAACCCCCAGACCAACGCCTGGAACGACATACTCTCCATGCAAAACCCTCGCAGCAACTTTGGAATTGAAGTGCTCGATGATTGCCTCTTTGTTGTTGGGGGCTTCAACGGCTTCACCACCACATTTAATGTCGAATACTACGACGCCATAAACAGTACTTGGACTGAGGCTGCCGACATGGAGATTTTCCGCAGTGCTGTCAGCTGCTGCGTGGTGTCCGGGGTCAACAGGGACAGATTCATTATCCCTCGAGACAACCTGCTACATGCCGTGGAGACTGAGTCTGCTGATTCAGGAGAGTCCTCCTAACACCAGGCTGTAGTGCAGGCCTGCCCTGTACCACCACCAAGGGCTTGGACCTCTAACCCCAAAATTTTAAATAAACTTCTTTGAGCATTACATCATGGTTGCTTTGAACACTTTCAAACATTTTAGCATGTTTAAGGTCAATGTGTCCAAAATGCAAACACAAGATTCAATCCAAATTGCACGATTGCATTAATATTTTCTCTGAACAGATACCTGCTCGGGCAAGTGTGCAGATATCCTCCAGCAAACAACTCCATGGTTTCAGTTTTAGTCCAAGTCGAGGTCTAGCTTTCAAAAGAGGCCAAGTGACAGCTTTAATACAATCCCGTCTCTCATTGGCTGTCATTTGACAGTGGGTGGGATATTAATTATCTTTATAAACAGATAATAAGAATACGCTCCCAGCTGCCTTCCTTTAAACTTCAACTTCTCAAGTCTCAATCTGGTTTATGCTAAATATATGCAAGGCTGCACATAGAAATGAAATGTCACTGCAATACAAATCATTTTAAAATATTGAAAAGAAATCAAAATGCATGTATTTTAAATAACCAAACATCTCACTCTTGATAAAAGAGAGTGCTGGATTATATATTTTCCTCCCTCAGTGTAACCAAAAGCACATTTTCAGCACTCTAAAGGTGTTCTTAATTTTATGCGCCACCTTGAATGAAGTAGTAACCACCTAGAAAGGTAGAAATGGGCCCATTTAACTCCTACACAAGCCTTTTCAAACACTAAGAAATAATACATGGATAGATGAAGAGGCCTGCAGGGAGACACATGGACATAAAAATGACAGAGGCGCTCAGTCAGAGGAAAAGTTGGTGCTGTTACATGACTTTCTGTCTGATGTCAAGGACTGGATGTTCCACAATCTCCTCCAACTAAATTTGGACAAAACTGGGATTATTCAGGGGGAAGAAAAGCTTGAATGACTTCAGTCTGTCCTTCTCTGTTTTTGCCGCATGCACCCCTCTCTCTTCCTCTTTCTCTTAATCTCCCTCTTCTTCTCTTTCCCTCCTCTCTGCTCTGTCTTTTTTGTCTTCCTCTTCATCTCACAGACAAAGCATTGGTTTCTCGTTTTTTTGGGGGGGTCAGAGTCACCTTGAGGTAGAAAGTGCAGTGAGATTCCTTATATAGGATTCCTTATACATTAACACTGGATTAGATGGTATAGATGTGTAAATATTGGACATTTATATCTATTTGTTTTTCTATCATGGGAGAAGAAGACACTTTCCCTGCTTACTCACTGAAGGCCTGAGTGGGCTCTTCAATTTGCTCAGATTTCTGGCCCCTAAAAACATTTTAAAATTTAAAGAGACCTGGTGAAAGGATGTGGTCGCTCAATTATGCATTTGGTCCTGTGTCGTCCTCTGCAAAAAAAACTTCAGTAAGACACACATTTTTCTGCCTCAGAAACAGAGACTTCTGGGATGTAAAATCGCTGCTTTGTTGACAGTATTCTTCAGTATTTGATTTTGAGTTTACACACGGTAACATTTACGGTCAGAACTGCATTTATCACTCAAAGCATGCTCAAGTAACTTCTGGGGTTTCCACTGTACTGCCGCCATGACTCAGCAGTATCCAACCTTATGAGCCTCACAGGCAAAGCAGAGGGATGCAGTGATATAAAACTTCAGATGTTTGAGTATAACTCTCCTAAATCTTTCTGGAGACACAACGTAAATGGTTGAAATGTGAAATTTAACACAAACTTTAAATCAGGTCGAGCCCTTTTTTCTGTCTTGTTGACTTCGTACTTCCTTCTTTTTCAGCCATTTCCTTCAGTTCAATATCTTTGAGTGTGGGCGTGTGTGTGTGTCTATGTGGAAGAAAAAAATCTCTTGGTTCACCTGACTTTTAGTCCCTCTGTCTTCTCACTCTGAAAAGGAAAAGCTTTTTCTTCCAATTATTACTTTTTCATTTAAGATGGGGATAAACACTTGTTGAGGCATTTATGTAAAACAGTACCAAGAAACACAGCAATATAAAAGAATAATGTTATATTGTTATTGTACAAGTGCTCTGTAATTATCTCTAAAATGTAAAACGGGCTGAAATTCATATCCTCGGTGACAAGACTGACAATCTTTATATGTAAGTTTAAACAACAAACTTTATTATTCTTCATAAAAGATTAACTTTTTTTTATGACCTTGATGAGAACCACTCATTACACCTTTACCTTTATGTAGATTAGAGAGATCTGACTGCCAACATCAGAAGGAAAGAGAGGAAATAAAAAAAGAGATATCAAAGATAAGAACTTGTAAAGTGATGTTAGAAAAAGCATTGGGTTAAAACTCCCCTCAGCCATGTGAAGTAGTACGCTCCACTTCCCTCACTTTCGAGTGAGACCAAACCCTTCTCTTGTGCTACAGAGGCAACTTTATGCTCTACAAACTGGAATTAAACAGGACAAGGATCAGATCATAAAGTCTAGCTTAAAGTACAGCACCAGTGCAGGCAGAATATTCCCTATCATGTGGAAGTGCTGACTCAGCATTTGGGTACTTATGTGATTCCTACACATTTAGTTATTTATTCATTCAGATTGTTTGATCCTTATTACTCACCTTAAACTGTTCCCCCCAAGAACTTACAGAGGTCGACAGCGCCCCTACAGGCCTGGAGCACTTCAGTTTTATCTTCTTGTGCAGCTGCTTTCTGCCTATGTGCACGTTTCAATTTGTATCATTTGTGTATTTGCAGTGCTATTGCTGTTGTGTTTGCTGCACTTGCGTTTCAATCGTTTTGTTTGTTTGGACTTCTGCTTGTGCAAGTTGAAGTTGTGTTATTTCCGCATTTGCGACATGTCTCTTCTCATGAATATCGTCCAGATCTTTGGCCCACCATAAAATATTGATCCTGCAAACACGTTAAATTTCAAAAGCATTTACAAATAGCATTTCATGTCTTGCTAGTGACATGTGTGCATGCATCCGTTCCCAAATGCCCGAGGAATACAGGCCGACAATCCCAACTGTTACACCGCCCACACAAACACACACATGCGTGCAAACACACACGTCAGGAGGAGCCCTGACATTCACAAAGCTCAGAGGTTTTTAAAAAATTATTAGCTAAAGTTGCTTGGCTGATGGTCGATGTTCTAAAAGCCCTGTGCAATACAACTTTAATAGCACTGGCAACAGGGTACACACACACACACAGACACACACACTCACTGACACACAAACACAGAGCCATTTTCTACTTCCTTATTTGCAATGTCTGGTTTCTCTGTCTCCTCCACTTTCTGTCTCTGTTTCTCCTCCGCCTGTCTGCCTGCTCTGTAGCCGAGGGCTGAAATACGGCTTCTCGCTCATAAAATGAGTGAAAAACACACACGCAGTTATTGTTTTGTGTGAGCGACTGTCAGCAAACTGACAAACGACACCGAATTAGCGCTTCACTGACACGGTTAGACCATGATATCAACAGTGTGGCGCTTGTATGTGTGTAAAACTGATGCTTAAACACACATGAGTAGATACTGAAGTGTGTATGTGAGTGTGTGTGATCTGTTAATAATAAGCCAAACAAACTGTATTATGTTTGCTGTGTTATGAGTCAGTATGTAATGTGCTCTGTATGTGCATGTGTGTGTGTGTGTCTGAGGTAGAAAGAGCGAGTATGTGTGCTGCGCCTGAGGGCTTTGTTCTGTACTGGTGCAATAAAAGACACATTAGAGAAAGAGAGAGATTACAGAAGAAAAAAACATTATCAACCATAAATGGTGTTTTTTTTTTTTTCTCTCTCTCACAGAAAAAAAAAACAATAAATCTATGTGGGTGTGAGAAGCAACAGAGTTTCACATGATGCATCGGCTGGGAAATCCTGCAAATGCAACAATTTATAGAAAAATACATTTTTTGGGGGGGATTTGGCATTCGGCTTGTTCTAACATACCCTCAAATAAACCGGAGAAAAGAGAAGGAGAAGGAAAAAATACACCAGTGGAAGTCCATGAAGACGAATCTGGGGAGTAAAGAAAGAGAAGAAGAAGAAGAAGAAGAAGAGGATAAGAGGAGGATGGTGGCTTAGAGATAACAGAGGGGGAAAAAGCGAGAAAGAGAGGGTTAGTGGTGTGTGTATGTATTGAGTAAAGGGTGGAATCAATTTCTCCTGTCATGCTTAACACCTGTCTAACCCTCCCTGTGTGTGTGTAAGAGGTAGATGTGTGTGTGTGTGTGTGTGTTTAAGAGAGAAGAACAGGCAATAGTTTCCCGATTGGAAAGGATTCAATTTATAGCCAATCTTTACTCTGCCTCGCTCACTTTCTCCCACACACACATATAAAGGCAGCTCTTAACGCTCGCTCTCGACCTCCGTACAACCTCTGTCCGTTTCCTCTTCCCTAGGTGTCAGTCATATGACATCAGACTGACAAAGCTGCGGCTTCTGCTGCAGCTCACAGTTACTGTCCTCTTCACCATCCAATAGCTGCATTTGTGGATGAGCTTCTCCTTCCCTACCGAGCGCTGTGTGGGATATTACGGTCTGAGCTGAGGTGATTGCTGAGGAGTTTCTCATTAAAGTCAGAGTAAGGGTGAACTTCACAGGCAGAGAGCAGAAATGGTCCCAAGAGAAGAATTCGGGTTTATTTGGGTTGTTGTTTTTTTTTAATCATCATTGAGAGTTTTACTCAGTTGAAAACAAACCAAGTTTAATGGGCAGACTTATTTTGAGGAGAGAATGATGGAAAAAGACTAAAAATTCACCGTTTGTGTCTCAATAAATGGATTTTAGAAATTTGGAAACTGTCTGACGAGTCACTACAATGAATATTTCTCTTGTCAGAAACCTACTTTGTTTGTAATCTGTATTTAGCATTGGGTATCACATACATGTGTGTATTTGGAGCGTAGCAGCAGCGTAGTGCAGCTGAGGTTAGCTTGGCTCAGTATAGAGGAAACAACATGCTCACAACAGGTTGTTTTGCCTTTCTGTGGTCTATTTCCTGCTAATTTGGATATAATTCAGTGACC